CCCATCGTCTATTTTGTGAGATGAAAAGTGAGAGTTGTACCGATTCTAACAAGCCCAACAATGGATTTTAAATTTTTTTGGGCTTTGTTGTTGTCGTGTTGGGCTAATTCAAGGGCTAACAAGAAATTTACCTGGGGTATTTAACCATAATAATCAAATATGTAATTTTTTTTTTCTTTTTCTTTTTTTTTTCTTTATTTTTTGTTTTACCTGGGGCTGGAGCCCACCCTAGCCCAAGGGTGGCTCTGCCCCTGGAATCCCCCAAGAAGGGTTCGAATGGCAGTTCCTGCTCCCTGGGAGGTCGCAAATAAATGACTACTTGAATCAGGATTTTTGGCATAAAGATTCCATTGGCCCGTAAAAAGTGGGCCTACCCACCTAAGGAAACTTCAACAATTAAAAGCGCACGAAGGCATCTTAAAACAATCTCCTAAACACGATTTTTCATAAATTATAACATGATTATCATCACATAATTTTCAGCAATTAATCCTATTCACATAAGCATGAGCAATGATCAAGGAAACATGTACATAACATCGAACTTCCTTCCTTTTTATGAAATCTCGCCAACATTATCTTATTCTAGTATCCTCGACTCATCCTACTACTTAAGCAAGCATAATCATTCAACTTTTCCGACTTAGACACTTTAAAATCATCCTTGAAAATCAATGATCCAAGAACAAACTTGGAATTTTCATAAACATCATTAAATCTCATTAAATCCCGTTTAATCTTGATTAATCATAAATTATCTTTGATTATTATTATGAGCACTTGAATCTCAGACCCAGATGATGAAGAAGGTTGGTTTACCGTTCTCGGGAAAAAGAGAATAAAAATCGGTTCAAAGGAAGGTGGCCTCAGCTGTCGGGCTCTCGCTCGCGTGGGATGTTTGTGGCTGGGTCGTGCGGCGTGACCTCGGGGCATGGCTGGTAGTCGCCCGGCTGAGGTGCGTGCGAACGGCCGTGAAGAATAAGGCTCGGCTTTTCTCTTCCTTTTTTTTTGGAACGACGATCCTTTTTATTTCTTTTTTGATCTCTTGAAAGGCTCGTAAAATATTTTGCGTAGGAAAAAATAATCTTATGGGAGAGGAGACAAATTTTTTAAGTTTAGGATTAGGGGATTTGGAAGAATCTTTATTTTGGTTGGAATAGGCTTCTTTTTATTTGTCAAGACAAGATTTCCTCTCTTCTCTTTTTTTTTTCCACACGTGAGATAGGGGTTGGGCGAGATTTTATGTGCTACTGTATCATCTTAGAATAACACTCCTTCTCCTTTATTTCTAAGATTTTAATTAAATAATTAGAAGTATGATTAAGGGATTTTAATTATAGAAAATTAAATAGATGGAGACATCTATTTAATTCCCATTTATTCTCTGTTAATAAAATTAAATGAATGAGGACATCCACTTAATTTTCATTAAATAAAATTATAATGTCGAGCTAAAATAAAATAAAAATGCATGAAATTAATAATGCTCAAGATGGATGACCGACTACATCAAGATCCAGCCGGTTAATTCGACGAGATCGAGAGCGTGAAGGATTAGCTCGAGAAGGTCTGGCTCGAGGAGGAGAAGAGGGATGGTCAGCAGAAGGGCCAGTGGCGAATGTCGAACCAGGAAAGGAATTAGTTGATGCCAGGGGATCAGGATGAAAGACCTCGCAGTCCTCCTCCTCTGCCACTTTGAGTTCCTCGCTTAACCCAAAGGGTCGGCAAGAAGGACGACGATGGGAGAAGTCATCAGGGGTGTCCTCATCTGGCTCATCGACCAGATGAAGAGGTTGGCGAAGGAGAAAAGGGTTAGGGGACACCACGTGGTCTTGGTGAGTTTGAACTAGAAGTTCGGGTCGGATGATGGAAATCGGAATGGATTGAAGAATTTATTGAACAGAAGGGTCGGAGAGAGGGAAAAAGGTAGAGATGTCGAGGACAAAGATGGAGGAGACATGTCCTCGTCGGAGAAGTGGTCGTTTTTGCTTGAGGTGGCAGAATCTGAAAAACACAAAAGGAAAATATCAAAAAGAAGATTTTTAGGGTTTTTGGGCAGAGGAAAAGAAGAAAAAGAGAGGATTTGTAGCCAGAAGGTTGAACGAAAAATTTAAAAAGAAAAATCAAAAGAGACTAGCAAAACTAAAATTGAAGCATAAAAACAAGGAAACTTACTCATCGTCGAAAGTGGAGTTGGTCGCCAGAAAAGCCGAAAGCTTGAAGAGTGCAGAGCTTGATCGTCGAAAGAAAGACAATTTTTATAAAAGCAGGAGCACAAGTTTGCAAAGGTGAAAAAGTTGCTAAGAAGTGGCTTCAAGAGTATTTATAGGTAGTGAATATGGGGCCAGGCTACTCCAACCGCCGATCGCAACCATACATAACGGTTGGGATTCAAAGGGTTGTTGAATGGACGTATCAAGCTAAGCTGTTAGATCGCGGCCGAAATCAAGGGCTAAGATCCAGAGGCGAGTTGAAGAGGCGTTGGTTCATTAACTGTTGGATTAAAGACATTAATCCAAAGGCCACTTTAAGAGGGATATTTAATGGGCGCGTTGTGCGAAGTGGCCCAATTCGCGAGGCGATGACATCGGCTTGACGTTACGACAGGCAAGTTTGACAGGTGACGGGTTTGAATTTCAAAACTCAAAATGAAGACCAGAGGGAAGAAGCCTAAAAATTCAAGAAAATATAATAAATGAACAGAGTAGTCAAAAAATAAAGGAGCAAGACAACGACTGGAGAGGAGGAAAATCTACTCTTCGATCAAGTTATTCAAACTC